ATGAAGAAACTGGCCTCTTTGGATACTTACTGCTACTACTGCTTACTACTACTTAAAATCGAAGTTTTCAGTAGTATATCTCAGCAGTAGACAACAATTAATAGAATGGGGAAAATGAAGAAAAAGCAATCAAGGCAATCGAGATAAACAGATAGATGGCGAGATAGAGTTGACAAGTAGGTACGTGGGTAGGTAGATAGGTAGGTGTACACACATAAGAGAGAGTTTGTCAACTGTCGCATAAAATGACTAGACCCAGAAAAAAGAGAGTAATCAACTGCTTTGACTAGTAATCAAATAAATTGGAAAGGAGAAAAGAGTGCATTCTCTCTTCCTATTGTGATTGTACAACAGTGTGTGTGTTTGTGAATAGTTAATGTGATTATTAACAGAAATTATGAAGAACAATAATTATAAGCTGTATGTGTATGAATGACATCTTAAAACGTCTTAAGTCAATGACTAAATTTAAATGAGGTAGCAAAAGGTTTCTTATGCAGGCAAAGTAATAAGGGAGTGTGGGGGGGGGTCGCACATAGAGGATGGAGGGTCATACCCAGAATGTACGAAGTAATGCAGTCATCAGGAGTCCATAGATTCCACAGTAGGCCAAGGTAGTGGTATGTCAGACCTGTTTCCACTGTACCCAGAGTACTAGCTGTTTCAGGACAGTCGTAATGGCCTCTCTTAGGGGACTACCCGGCTAAGCTCATTTATACGCGTAGGGATATAACAAAACAAATGCAAACTTGCGTTAAGATATCATTTAATATATTAAGATATAAAATATACATATGTAAGATACAGTTACTTGGTGAGTTATTATTGTCCCAAAAAACAAATAAAGTCCTACGGAGTTAAAGTTATGAAGTAGTCTTTCCCATCTACTATTGCTCACTCCACGAAGGAGTATGCCAACAACCCGAGAGGTACTTGTGAAGAGAAGAGGAGGTTGAAGCAAAGATTTTAAATATGGATATACGGATTAGGCACCGACCAGTGATGTTTGGCGGTAGTGGGAAGCCAAAGAACTGGAGAAGTTATATCATCCGTAGTGCGCGGTGAACAAGATGGATTCCGCTATTCAACATATCAATTAACACCCATGGTGTGCAGTGAATTCTCTGTTTTTTTACTTTTTTACAATGAACGCATAATTTGATATTTTTCGGCCTCCACAGTCTGCCGTTTGGAGTATTCAGCACCTGGAGGGTTCAGCAATCTATTTATTACACAATAGGTGATAAAGATCTTTCAGCGTTAGCTGTATGGCTTGTTTACACTAGGTGACCTAATATCGAGCTGTTGGTGGTTTTCGCTAAATCTTTATTTAGCCACAAATGCAGATGCTCTGAAGCAAGAAGAGTCTAGTTCCCAGAACAATGGTTATTAATAATGGCTTCACAGGAGCAGCTGAAATGATAAGTATAGACTAGTTAGCTAGCCTAGGTGCGTCGTCGTTCAGTTGGAAAATCACGACTAGTTGTGTAGAAAATATGAGCTGCATCTTATCTGCGTCAAAAGTTATTTGAATCAGTTTTCCTAGTTCTTTGGTCACCGCTTCACATGGTATGTCACCTTTGAATTGCAATCGCATACATTAGGGCTTCTTATTCACAGGTAGGGAACAGTTTATCATTTTCTTGACATGTGTTTCAGAATGAACTCTTCTGGATAGTTATTTCCAATTAAGGTGTCATTTACATTCTTAAGTTGGTCTTCAATTACATATTCTAAACAAAATAGGTCTGACCATGTAACTGAGGGTTTTCATCAAACTTCTTTTGCATTTCAAGGGAAAACAGCTACGAAAGCGTCTATATAAATACTGGAAAAGCTATTTTAGAGGCTGACAGTGTCGAAATTCACGGATGGCACGACGTATGCTAACGCAAGATCTTATACCCACAACTCCTATAGCATTTCTTCCGCGCGATTGTCCAAAATACGAAATATATTTCGGGACTAAAATCGTAGTGCGAGGATAATTGCTCAACTGGCCAAGGATCGTGCACAAACAGCCATACGTAACACGACACCCTGCCAAATCGCGTGGATGTTTGACCGCAAACCTTCAGCTAAACAAGTCGATTTATACATCGAAGGTCATTCATTGTCCAGTGTTGAGTGATAAATGTTGTTGGCCAATAATTTTGGGAGATTATCTACCACTACACTATATTGCCTTCTCCACGTAATTATCTTGCACAAATTTCTTTATATGCCGCCACCAAGGTTTTGTGAGAAAGACATCTGAAAAGTAAGTTCCTTTTAAAATTCTTTTTCACAAGAGAATTCGATGCATTACTGGACTAAGAGACATTACAACGAGCCTATCCAAGTTAATTCCACAAAGGATGAATGCATCATGTTGGTCATGAACATTCCACAACTACGGGAGGACATCGGAAGCCTAGAGAGGATGAGTCCAAATGAACGTCACTAAATGGTGGACCAGACTTTGCAAATGACACAGTGATACTTAGCGTAACTTGTGTACATTCGAATGCTGGCACTGCATGTGTGAATGCGTTCAGTTTCGCATACAACAATTAAATTCAAGCCAAACAAACCTAGGTGAAATGAGCTTGCCTGTAGCACAAAAAATTACGCAAAAGTAGAGGAACCACGGGCTTTGGAATGCTCCTAACATCTACAGCTACCCCATGGGCCCTACACAAACTCGCCGGACATCTTATAGGTCAGCATATCCTACACGTTCTAATCTTTCAAGTCACTTCTATCTGAAATATCACCTACATACTTTACGGTAATTCTTTTGTCAAATCACTGTTATACTCTATTTTATCTTAACTACCTAGGCGTTTGATAAAGCTAAAACTTACCCTTTTCATTCACACTCTTCGCTCGCTTAAAGTTCGGTTGCTTTGATGAAAAAATATAACAACACCAATGTTTGACAAAAACTATATTTTCATCGAAAATGTCATAGTTTTCCATGGTAAGACCAGTATGGTTGGCATTATACATTGCAAACGTATACTACCATTCCAAGGACACTATAGCTCCTCCTCGTATTTATCTCGTTAATATACTTTCAATGATGCATTACCCATAATTGCATTTTATACCATTTTGCAGCTTCCCGCGACGTTCTACTTTTCCTGCAATGGCTATTAATCACGTGGGGGCATAGCACTTACCCAAATATAGTTAACTACCCTTTAGGGATTATATTTAGATCTTGCTAATGGCCAGATATCAAGTAAAATTCAGTTGGAACTATGATCAAGACCAGCATCCCAAGTATAGTCAAGTCATAATTTCAGCCATGCAGTTCTGTAGAAATGATACATAACAAAGCCATCATAGCGGACCTCAAAAATATCACCTGCTGAATGACACGACCTCGATCATGTTCAGACAATGTTATCGGTCATCAGAATTACTTGCGTGGTACTGCCATTCGATGCAAACAGTTCTACAAAGGCAATAATAATCATTGCATATACTCAGCTCGGAAAGACTAGATCTCACTGGCGTGGAGCAAGACTGATCATTGAAAACCCAAAGTCCGATGGTCAGTGTAACATTGCTAGAGACGGCCTAGATTGGCATACGCCACCCCCCTTACAGGTCTTATTAGTGACACCTCCGTCACCAGTCACATAACTACCTAGATAAATGAACTTATTGATCACTTCGGAAGGATGAGTGCATGCTGATGCCAATCTTGCAACAACACTTTCCACTCCACTGGCAAAAAGCACATGCCATACAAACACTGGTCGCCAACCGATTCAGTAACCTGTATGTTATTACACAGTAAGACGATAGCATCTGAATACTCCAGGTCGAAAAGTCTACCCGCAGGTAGTAAACCTACATCACCATCTCATGCATACTTCATAGCTGTCTCGAGAACGTAGTCAGTGGTAAAGTTGAAGAGAAGTGGTGAGACTGCGCAACCCAATCTAACCCCATTGCTGTGAAAATAGCGGTGGCAGTAAGCCTTTGCCCTACCTAAGGTATTGTGTGTCAAGGGCTTTCAGCATGTTGACAAACTTCTCAGAAACACCTCTCCTTAACAGACACTGTTCTTAAGAACAACTCTGTCCAAAGAATCGAAGACAAACCATTATACCAAGAAATATGCTTGTTGGCCTGCAAATCGATGTCGCACCAACTGGCGAAGACTGAACATATGATGAATGCATCCACGACATGAACAAAGTCCAGCCTGCTCTCAAACAGCCAAAATTTCTCATGCGTCCTACGCAGCCTGCAGTGCAGGACACCAGCCAATATTTCAGACGCGAATGGTAACAGGCTGTTTGTAGCTTGCACTACGTACACCCTTTCTAAAGACAGACACGGTAATAGCTTCGTTCGTCCACTTTTCTGAATAATCCAGTCAAAGGAACTGACTTTAAACAGCCGGAAGCAGGGTGCCCTATGGAGCGTTAGTACTTTAAGCATCTTTCGAAAGACTGGCACTAACCAAACATGGAGCAATTTTATGTTGGTTGAATACACACAAGCTATCTATCATTTACCCAGTTGACAGCCACATAAACAACTTGACACGGTTAACGTGGGTGGGTGAGGGTGGATAGACTTCGGTCCCTCTCTCGATGTGTTCTTATGTGGTCATGCGTTCATGGCCTTTGTCAGTTAAGCCCAATGCACTGCTTTGACAAAAGCGAAACGGCGAATGAGAACGTCTGGTGTTGACAACCAGATTGAGGAACATGTAGATCCACCTAGGGGAGCTAGAAATCCCAGATTCCAATCTCCTATGGTGTACATGGGCTCTAGAATCCATACTGATCAAATAGCATATGAACCTGGTTTCGTCACCGGAAACCATGGGAACACAGCTCCTGACGCTGCTGCTGGATCAGGCTTCAAGTCAAAGGCTCGGAGAAGGGGAGATGGTCCTTTAGGACAACCACGTGCTTCGTTCTCGGCGCCCAAGCAGTATCTCAGGCCTTGCACATACTATGATATAATTTTGTCTGGTGCATCTCTCTTCGTACCCATAATGTACATCAAGTTTGTATTTGGAATAAAAGAAAATAAATACCCATTTGACAAGACACAAGAAAACACTGAACATCAATTTCACCTCCCAAAAAAGAAGTAGATACAAATACAAAGACAAGAAATATTACCCCATTCACAACAGCAACGAAAATAAGCATAGGAACCAATAATTAGTAAATTTAAAAAATACATAAAGAATGAGGAACCAGAGCGATATATGCACTCTAAGTTCAAAAAAGAGTTAGTGTATGATTATTATGAATTCAGCTGTATTTTTATTAGAATACAAAATATTTTAAAAAGGAAAACAAGATCACAGAGTAGATGGTTTGTGATGAGATGAATCACTGGTGTCTGTGTGTTTGAGTCCTTCAGTCGACTATCATATTTACAAGTAAGTGTATGAAGGAAATTATCCAAATCAAAAAAGAGAAACGGAAATGCACGCAACTAGCCAATCCCCGTGATTTCCCCAATGTCAGCTCTAAAAAAAACAAAACAAAAAATGTATGAAAAGATAACTTCTCAAATATTGTAGTCAATTTACTGGAATATGAAAAATTAGTGCCGATAAACCCATATGTACACAAAACAGATTTGGGTCACAATACACAATATTCGTTCATAAACCTGTCTTAGGCGTTCAAAAATTATTTATCATTACTCTGACTCTGACTTGGTAATCCAATTTTAGCGCCAATGTTCATTTTACCAGATAATATTTTTACCTCCCTCTGTTCGCTCACCTGGTTTGCGTATGTCTTATCTTTCATCGTAACCCGTACACATTGTCACCCATACTGATAAACAAAAGCCGATTCTTCATGCTCTGTTATCTTTTATATAAGTATGTATGACAAGTACAGGTGTATGTGTGATCAGAACGTCAGAAAGGCGTTGCACAAATAACGGCGAACATATATCACGAATCAGACTTCACGTGCTTTCCTTCCAGTATACTTGTGGAAGTAGAAGGCAGGCAGTCAATTACAACTTGATTTTGTATTACGGACCCAGAGGAATCCTGAATGTTTTAAAAAACTGTGCTACCTACTTTTTTACGACACAGCTAGAGTATCTCTTGTTACGTTTGCTATATCATGCACGAAAACACCTCACGATAGCTTTTATCCTCACATGCAAATACACATTACACTACATTAGATAAACTACATCTTATTATTTTCTCAAATTCATGAAGGGAACTAATTGTGTTCAATATCACTTTTATTTAGTAATTCCCATGACTTAAAAGGTAGACGAGAAACGGTAACCGTTCCATTGTCAACACCAACAGTCTACATGTTAGCAGTTAAACGACAAGGAGCCTGACTTGACTTGAGAAACGACCATGCATATTGTCACTTCTTCGTCAAGACCATCTATAATAATAATTTCAAGTAATTGTATGCTTCCTTTAACAACTGTGGAGGTGTGGCTCAGTGACTCACGGGTTCGAGTCCTGCTCCACGTACTTCTTCAGCTAGCTTCAGCAACTCGATAGCACCAACCCTCACACCAGACGAGTGTGACTCTTAGTCTGATACATGAAAAGTCTATTCACGGGTGAGTTTAAACAACCTTTGAGATTTAAAACCACAGCATTTGCTCATTTGGCGACTAATTATCATACAATGACTCTCCCAAAGAGAACGAATTTAACTACAGGATTATGATATTGTGTATGAGCTCTCCATTCCATTCACCAACTACTGTCATATCCCAACACTAAAAAATAAATTCATAAGACGCATAAACTTTCGTATCATAAAAAGTAAATTACAAAAAAAAATCATACTGTTTGATCAAATTAGTGACCACCTAAAATCAACTCCTTCCCACTATGAATGGCTTAAAAAATCACGTGTTTCTGATACACTAAGTGTGCATGGAAACCTACAATTTGACGAATTATTAAAACACTTTTTCATCTCATTGTAAACACTATATATATACATTACAGAATACTCATGGAAATTCCATCATGGGTAAATTTTATTTTGATAGAGTCTCACAGTGCTATACAGTAATATTTACTGATGACGTTTCGAGCACAATTTATCGCTCATAATCATATCAAGTTAATCACACGACTTCCTAAACTCTTTTATATAGTTCCATTGTTTTTCACTTGATTTGATTGGTAGTATTATTTTCCATATCTCGGGTATGAGTGATGATTCATTCATATTGCATGTGTTGGGTGTAGATTCGATGAACAAGGATTCAGTAATCAACGTCTCTCGCTCTCCACCTACCTAGATTACATTTTAGAATTTTAACCCTCTCCCACCCTATTGTGTGGTTGTGTGTTAATGCATGCATTGCAATTGCCGAGCTTTTTTCTAAATTACTTATCTTCTCTGGGTCAACCATTCTTACCTTAGCTAAATTCTTATGTTCTGACAATCTGACTACCCCTGACCTACTAGTTTGACCTATGTAGTTGACCTAACAGTCATTGCAGGGTATTTTGTAAATTATATTATTTTGTCTAATTGGGTCCACTGGGTCCTTTAACCTACAAAGCTTGTCCTAGCTGAGTGAGTTTGTAGGTTTAAATGCCACCCTAATTCCTGCTTTATTTAGAATCCTACGTAGGGTCTCAGATGTCCCCTCTTTATATGGTATAACTGTAGATGACTTATATTCTCTCTTATTTATGTTATTATTACTAGTTTCACAATTCTTTTTGTTTTTCTTTTGGCGTTTTTCAATCTTCCTAATGAATTTTAGAGGATAGTTATTTAGAACCAACGCCTCTTCTATCTGTTTTATTTCATCATTTAGGTCTTTTTTTGTGCTACTTAGTGCCATTGCTCGGTTTGTTAAACACTTAATTAAGCCTGCCTTAACAGTTAAAGGATGAGATGAATTAAAGTCTAAATATCTATTAGAATGCGTTGGTTTTCTATAAACACTAGTGTGTAGTTTACCTTCTTCTATTCGTTTTATTTTACAATCTAACATAGCTAATTCTCCGTGCTCATTTTCGGTTTCAAATGTGAATTTTATTCCCTCCACTAGTGAGTTTATGTGTGTCAAGAAGCTAGAGAGGGGTAAGTTCTGTTTTTAACACTGTGAAAGTGTCATCCACATATCTCCACCATATTTTTAGAGTAGGATTAAACGTAATAAGTGCCATATTTTCCCAGCTATCCATAAATATATCTGCTACGATAGGGGATATTGGTGATCCCATTGCTAGCCTATTTGAGGTGAATTATGTTCAATGTGTAGTATAACCTCACTGATACGTTAAACGAAACCACGAATTTAGCATAATACATTACACATCCAACTTGGTCTATCGGTGGTTACGTCACAGGATGATACTGCATGCCGTTATGGTCTTGCAAGAGGATCCTATTACCCAGTCAATAGGTTTATCGAGTCGATGGCTCAATGGTAGAATGCTCGCCGACCACGCCACAAGTGGTCTGGGTTCGACTGTCGATCGACGGCACACCTAAGCTTCACCTAGCCGGTAGGTAGTAGGTCCAGTAGAGGGGAAGGGTTGGATGTGAGGCTACCTCTACCTTACTGAAACTGCAAACATCAAGCTTGAAGCTCCATGTTTCACTCGGGACGCAAATGAATGGAAAAATGGTCCAACTATCTACGGTTCTTCAGCGCCAAACACCACTTTAATTTCACCGGGTAAGCTTTAGTTCCGAAACCTACCACTACTACTACTAACAACTACTACAAACAATAGAACCATCCCCTGCGACGACAAATATATAAAGCACAATATGGTCCCGAAAATTCCAGCCAGTTGTCAGTGAACTCTACATTTGACTGGACAGTCATAGATTCATGAAAAAAAACTTGTCAATCTTCAATAGAATCGGAAATATATATACGTCAAACATTTTCTTTCTTCCGTTGCGTTCCAAGTGGAACATAAGGCTTCAAGCTTGAGCTTAAAAGTTTCAGTACCAGTGGGGTTGTTTCTTTCATTAATCAGGTGTCTTTGATAGCTGCACGCCCAGTCACTCCTCTTTACCAGGCTTACTACCAGCCAAGTGAGGTTTACGGATGCGTCGGCTGGGAATCGAACCCTGACCAAACGCGCGGTTGGCGAGCATTTTATCATTCAGCCACCAACGCACATAAATAGTGAATATCTCAACATTTCATTAGTCAGATTGTAACACCATAAACCAAAAGTGGACCTGTCAATGAATTCTACTCTTATAAGAGTGAGATTACCAGGACATGGTGGTAAACTAAACCAAAAATATTTCTGGTATGATTACTAACAGTCATTCACTCATAAATTATGAAAGATTAAAACTTCTGATTGATAAATCGACTAGCATACACTCAGTCATTATGGCAGCTTTCTACAGACATTATACTTTTGCTGTGATTTGAAATTTCCGTAGCGACTATTTCAGTACAAGTATGGATTTCAGCATGGATATCGGTAGCCCAAATTTCGCAGGCCAACCATAGATATCGGGTGTGCGTCGGCAGGGGATCGAACCCCGGGCCATGTGCATGGTCGGCGAGAGTCCTAACCACTGTGCTACCGACGCACTAGGTTGGTTTTCCCAGGTAGCGTCTCTAGCCACACACCCAACCTTCCCGCTTCTTCCAGGCTTAGGACCAGATAATAAACTAGTGAACTAGTAGGGGGCTGCTTTCGCTAACTTACACCATCTCTGGCGTAGCCGTAACATCCGGCTATCAACCAAGGGACGTGTGTACTGCTCAGCAGTTCGCTCCGTCCTTCTCTATGGCTCTGAAACATGGTCAATACGAGTTGAAGACATGAAAAGGTTGACTGTTTTTGATCACAGATGTCTACGATCTCTTTCTCACGTTAGGTGGTATAATAAGGTAAGTAATGTTGACGTTAGGCGTAGAGTGTTGGGCAAAGAGGGAAAATCAATCGAAGAGGCTATAAAGTTACATAGATTGAGATGGCTAGGTCACGTGCTGCACATGCCTAACCATCGCCTCCCCCGACGGGCATTACTAGCTGATATAGGTGCAGGTTGGAAAAGAGTAAGTGGTGGCCAAACAAAAACATGGCATCAATCCATGAAATCCTTGACAGTTAAACTGAGTCAGGTAGGGAGATGCAGACTTCCGGGTTGGGGCCCGCCCTCGGGACTCTAAGAATCAATGGCTGGAGACAATAGGTGACATGGCTCAAAATCGTTGTTAATGGCTTACGCAGATGTATTCAGTCTCTGTAATCTTTCATATTCCTTTCTACCATTACTCATTCTGTTTCACTCTTATACTTGTCAAAACTCTATTGATTCTCTTCACTCATCTTCTCGTCTACCTTTGTGTGCTATTTGGAACGTGGCAACTCGAACTGCTGCACTTCGGTGCCAAGTTCTATGTTGAACCCAGACAGACAGAACTAGTAGGGTATGGCTAAAAAACGAATTGCCCAGAAAATATGCCGAAGGAAATGGAGATGGATTGGACACAGACACTGAGGAGCCAGTCAGGCCCTCCAGTGGCACCCAAATCGGAAACGACGAGTACGACGTGGGTTCGAGGGTGAGAGAGAGGAGATTGTGTGTGAGACGAAAGCTGATGGGCAATCGTGAGGCTAGCTGAAAAGAACTGCAGAGAAGACGATGAAATTGAGATGCGTTGTTGAAGCTCAATGTTGCACTCAGAACCCAAAGGAATAACAATAATAATAATATGCTATATAAAATGTAAAAACCACTTCACTTACGCGGAAATAGATCGAATAAAAGCTGATGTTTGCCAGTGGAATAAAGTAATCTTCATAAAAATATATTTACTACCTTTTTCGTTCACATGATCCCCTACTAATTACTTTATTCGTTGTAATGAGTGGATCGACAACAATATTGGCAGTTGATTTGCTCTTGTTTCTCAAAGATTTACTGGGAGCAGTACTACTACTGCTTTTACTGGCAACAGCATCATTCTCATCGCCATGATCGTGTAAATATAAACGACGAAATTTACTTTTTCTTGAATTAGATTCTTTTGCACCGGAGTCTGGAGGTTGATTCTCACTAGTTCTAAAAAGAAAACCAAACTTCAGTGATACATAAATATATATACTACACAATTTACAAATTCAACAACTGATCGCTATTCCATGCAGTCAGAAATAAGCCACGCCTAGCCTATTGTGTCAGGGTTAACGATACTCGCGAATATCAGTGAAAGATTTCTGCTGTAACATTCAAACTTACAGGTACAGCAAGATTGATTCCTGTGGGCTGCGAAAACAACAAGGGAAGGCTGTTCAAATGAAGGATGACTAAAACCATCTGCAAGTACCATGAACAGTGTTATACAGCAAAAGTGCACGAGATAGAAGAGGCATTAGAGCTAGGTGATACCACACTATTTGTAAAATACCAATCATTAAGGAGATATTTTCCGAGAAATGCGAATTCTTAATTAACTGACAGGATAGACAACCACAACGTTAGAAGGAACATTTCGGGGAGCGATTCAAGTGACTGACAGATACACCCAACTGGATCACTACAAAACACCTACCTGAATGGGATACATACGGGGATAAGTTCGGCATAAACACACCCGGGAAACACAGATACCCTTTAGGCCAGGAAGAGGGTGCATTCACCAAACTTTCACCCTTCGATAGATTCTAGAACATAGGTATACATACCAGTGTCCAACACTTGTCATATTTCTTAACCTGAATGTGCTACTTTACCCTGCTGACTGGAAAGTGCTGCAGCCATGTCTCGCTGTGAAGTGAGTACACAGAAAGTTTATCGCAGTAATCATGAAACTAGTCGAACTCACGAATTAGTGTAAGAGCTTATGGGGAGCTGTCATCTGAAATGACATGATCATTCTTCCCATTTTTGTTCAAATTTCATCATGGATGTACTTTTAGAAGATGTAACCCGAATCGACTTTACCAACTTAGCGAAACAGTCTCAACGACTTAGAGTGTGGCCATGATATTGTCCATCTAGATGAAGACAGACAAAAATTCAGACTATTCTGAAAACCTCGACCAGAATGGTTGGCATGCGATTCGCCCCTGTCAAATGTCAGGTGATGTTGCAGGGACTGGTCTTCGCCGACTTCTAATTCAAAGATGGAAAGTCAGGTGGTTGAGCATGTGTAGTCCACTTCATTTGTTATTTTGAAATAGTCTAAACTAGTGGGTAGAAGAGTTGAGGTTGTCAATAGAGTCAAGTGGATCTAAGTCGAAACGTTCAATGCCATAAACTATCTTTGAACCTTCCACAAACGAAATAATATTCGACAACGGAGTACAATACAACCAATCATACCTAGTGTGTGTGTGTGTGTGTGTGTAAGAGGTCATAACACCAGGCTATTCAAGCTTTAATAGGTAGCGTGGTACTTAAACCAGTGATTCGTTGATCCAAAGTTGAATTAATAAACATGCAACAACATGTCAACGAACTCGTGTTGTAATCTGAAGGTCCTGGATTCAATCTCTGGTGAGGTGAGTCATGGATGCGTACTGATGCAGAGTTCCAAACAAGCACAGAACAGCTGTCCTACACTCTCTGCTGCTTTCCAATGGTTGTCTGACTTCAATTAGCGAAAACTGAAGTCAACTTGTGATAAATCGTAAATCAATCAAATCCCTGAAAACCAATACTTGAACATAAATTTACCACATTAATGTTTTACACGCCACCGACAATTATACATCTCATCCAACAGCTGTACGACAATGCTGCATGCCAAGTAATCCACAACGGGAAGCTCACGGAATCCTTCGAAGTGAGGACAGGAGTAAGACAAGGCTGCCTACTATCGCCAATGATTTTCCTGATTGCAGTAGACTGGATAATGCGACAAACAGCGGGCAATGAGGAAACAGGCATAAAATGGACTCACACAAAAAACTTGGAGGATCTGGACTTCGCCGATGATATATGTCTGATTTCCCACAAACTGGAAGACATGCAAGCGAAAAGCAACAAGTTAGCAGAAGAAGCATCAAAGATAGGACTTAAGGTGAACATAGAGAAAACAGAGGTGATGGAAATTTCTGGGCAATAACAACGACAACAACTGACAAGTCAGCATAAATGGGAGGAACCTGAAAGAAACAACCTCCTTTACCTACTTGGGAAGCATCGTTTCAACTACAGGCGGAACTGACGAGGATATCAAAGCAAGGATCGGAAAAGCAAGACAAGCTTTCACTACTCTCAAGCCTGTGTGGAGGTCAACAACACTCAGCATCAAAAATAAGATCCTGATTTTCAACTCCAATGTAAAGTCAGTGCTACTACACGGAGCAGAGACTTGGCGCGTCATAAAGAGCATCTCAAACAAACTACAGACCTTCATCAACAGCTGTCTTCTCTCAACACTACTCAAGATGAAATGGCTGGCCAGGAAAGATCAGCAATAGAGATCTCTGGGAGCGAACCAACCAGGAACCGATTGTGAAACAAATAGGCAGGAAGAAATGGAGATGGGTTGGTCATACTCTGAGGAAACCATCAAGTGACATCACTAGACAAACCCTCGAGTGGAACCTGAAAGGGAAATAGCGAGTTGGTTGTCAGTGCAAGGGTGACTTGGAGGAGGTCATGTGAAGTGGAGATGAAAACGTGTGGGCAGACTTAGAGCCAGGTGAAGACTCTAGCAGAGAACCGAACGCAATGGAGACGCACGGCTGAAGCCCTATGTTCCTCTAGGAATTAAAGGATATAATAATAATAATAATTAATGTTTTACACATATCAATAGAAAACAAGACGACTGTAAACTTACAATGGAACTAGTAGGACAGACAGACGCTGATTACCACCTTCAGCATAATTCTCTCCTTTATTGCTAATAACTAGCGGTGAATTCACTTTTCCATTCTGTTGTAATTCTCCAAGAACTCGATGTTTTGTTGTTACTGAAGCCGTGTTGGATATCTGGCCTTTAGAACTATCATCATCTTGCCTGTCTTTCAATCGCTCAACTTCCTGTTGACACTTTTCTCTTTGTTTACTAATGCGTAAATCATTCAAAGTAGGTGGAAGTACAGACAAGTTAGCTGTTTGATTCATTGATAAATCGAAGACATTCTGTACATGAAAATGACACAAGGTAGACAGAGAGAGTGTGAGAAGAAATCAGTAGAAGTTGAAAGAAAACACAGTGAAAAACTATGCAGTATAACCTAATTACGATTATAGTTGAGAATCAGTAGACTGTGGTGACAAATAATACAATTAGATGACATCAATTCCCAGTCACACACTGTCACTGACTGTTGGTTTCAACTGTGCACACGCCACAGCTTAGCACGGGTTCGTGAGAGATTTTTGAAAAAATTAACCTACACTGATTTAGCCAAATTATTTATGATTATTTCAACACAAACTTGGTATATTATTGGCACCGACAGATCCGTCTTACAAAATGTCATAGTTGGTGAGAGGGCTGAGATAGTGCTCAGCCGCCCAGACAGAACCACGTGGTTGTCTCAAGGGACCACCTCTCCTTCTCCGAACCTCATCCACAAGGTAGTCAGCAGCTTCAGGAGATGTGTTCCCATGGTTTCCAGGGTCCAAAATACGTTCGTATGCCATTCGATCCTTTCGAATTCTAGAACAAATGTACACCATCGGTTGGGAATCAGGGTTTTCTAGCTCCTCTAGGTAGATAAGCATATCCATCAGTCCGGTTGTAAGCGCCAAACATTACCACTTACTCTTTTAATTTTGACAGGAACAATCCATCTGCGTGGAGGCATTGAACAGGACTCAACTGGCAGAGGCTATCAACGCGCGACCAAATGAAAGCATTTCCAGAGGAATACTGAAGTCTACCCGCACCTTAGGCCACACCAGGTCAGCTTTTGCAGTGAGAAATTCATACTGGTTGTGTGCAACTTTACTGTTATAGCTAAGAAGTGATTACAGTAGTGTACATGTATTTGTACCAGATCACCAACTCGATTGTAACATCGCATCTTCATATGTCTTATTACACTTTCTTATGTCAACGGCATTCCACATCTTTCCACTACATCACTTTCATTTCTTCCACAAAGGAAGTGTGTTCCAACTTGTAAACCCTAATGTTCGTCTCTTTTCGATAAGACCCACTAACAGCGTCTTCCGAACTAATGATAAAACGAAATTCACAATTAATTGATGAAGGAAAAAAATCACCAAGTAATAGGCAGTTATATACATATCCAAACCAAGTTCACTTTTAACAGTCTGAAAAAATTTGGGCATTGGGTAAGTGATATTCACATTATTATAAAAGTTTTTGTACTTCCCAATGAATGAAGTTACTGACGTTTCGCTTCTTAATGCCAATAGCTTCTTATTTTATATGTAAACTTTCCAGAAATGCAGTAACACATTCTACTTCGTTCGAACATTAACTTATATTAATATTCCTTGTGTTCCGAGTGGAACACAGAGCTTCAACAGAACATCTCCAGTTTATCCTGTTCTCTGCAGTCCTCTTTAGTTGACTCCACGATTAACCAGAAGCTTTTATTCATCCCCACCCCGTCGCCACATCTCCTCCATGTCAACTTCGGACTCACACCCAACTCGTCGTTTATACATTCGGGGGTCTGCCTGTCACGTGATGTCACTTAATGGTCTCCTCAGTGTGTGCCCAATCCATCGCCATTTTCTTAGGTCGTTGGTTGATTTGTTGTCAGAGTTTTTTGGTGCTGACCAGCAGCCATTTAATCTTCAGTATCGAACGGAGACAGGTGTTCATAAAAGTCTGCAATCTCTTGGTTAAATGCATAGTGTTGAAAATCTGAATCTTGTTCTTTATTCTGAGGGTAGTAGATTTCCATACTGGTTCTAGATGAATGAAGGTCTGCCTCCCTTTCCTGATTCTGCCCTTCACATCTTTATCTATGCTGTCTGTCACCTTTAGCTGAAACAATGCTGCCTAGAAAAGTACAAGAAGTGATTTCCTTAAGATTTCTTCCCTTGAAAGTGACTAGTGCTTGTTGTTGGTGGTGGTGGTCGTCGTCGAGTAAGTCCGCTATCTCTGTCTTCTCCATGTTCACTTGAAGTCACGTCTTCACTGTCTACGTCTTCTTCCAAATTATTGGTCCCCAACCATAGATGTTTGCTGAAACACTTTCCGAATAATTTCACAGTCGACGCTATCGAAGGTTTTAAAAATCGATAAAGTTGATGCAGAGATTTGACTGACATTCTATGCTCTATTCGATAATGATGCGTAGAGCTGCAATTTGATCAGCACATGATTTGCTTTTTCCTGAACCCAAATTGTTACGGGCGGAGTTTTGCATCCAGGGCATCTTTCAGACGTGACTCAATATTTTGCTTAGAAAGGCCACAAGCTTGGGCCTACGCCAAGTCTTTGCAAAGGTAGAAGTAGGCCTTATTTGGTAGTTTGACAAGGTAGCTCTTCTTCCAATCGCCAGACACCTTTCCTGCCTTCTTTCTTTACTCAGAAATCTTCTGCAATAGTGAGCTGAACGTATCCGCTGAGGTTCCTGGGTCCGTTTCCCATGCTCCTGAAGGAATTCTGTCTGCTCCTGCTGCCCTACCGGCTGACTTTCAGTAACTTACTCTTAGATTATAAAGTGAACCTTTTCAGTAGGGATACACAATTAAAACACCACATAGTCAAGGATATTTATAAAATAATTTACGACAATCCACCTGTGTTATGCTACTCTTTTATATATACATGAACAATTAGATCCAGGTCAATGGAACTAGTGGGTAATTGGAAAAATCAATAACGAAATAACACTTACTGCGGATTTAATTCCCTGTGGTAATTTTCTTTCATTCCCTGCAATGTTCTCTTTGTCACTATCAGGAGACTTCGAACCTGTAATACAGGCGGTGAACCTCGTCTTTGATCTTGTCTTTTGTTTCCCCTTTTCGACAGTAGATGATGGATTATTCTCTCTGTTGACAACAGTACCACTTCTAGCGCAGGTATTAAGTGGATTCTTAGCATCAACTTTAAATGTTAACTGACCAGGTCGACGAAAGCATGTTTCAATAATACGTCCAGTTTGTTGTGGTACACTTTCAACAATATCAGGGTTGTTTGTTTTTCTTACTTTTAAACTTTTTGATCTACTTTTACCGTCAGTTTTATTGATATCATCATCATTCTGCTTCATAGTTTTGGTATTCTTACCTTTATCACAATCATCATTATCATCATCATCCTCACTGTCTGCAGAACGAATTAACCGACGTTTAACAACCTTCTTTGACTTTCTTTTAACAACTGGTGGTTCAAGAAACGATGATGTATCTATAATAGGCTTCGAATTTAAACGAGCTTGCCTGACTAAATGAGATCTTGTTGAGCCATCGTCATGATGAACAACAACATTGTTTTCATTTCTGTTGACAACACCAGCAGGAGGCGGCATAGTCACAGTCTCAGTCCTCGAAGTGGGAACAACATCCGAATTCTGGTTACACACAGCTTGTAAATTAATCACCGGAGATTCAGTTGTCGAGTGATGCTGTGCTGAATTTTCCAAGTGTCTGAAGCTGTTTACTGGAGAATGGATTGGACTATTGAAATCTAAGTTATCATTAATCTCCACTTCCACATTTTTTCTTGTCAAAGTTTCTCTTTCCGCATCATCTTTGTTTTGAGAAACACAAGTACGTGGAGTAGCGAGTATTTCGGGCAATTCTTCTTCTTCTTCTGCAGCGGGAAATGACGGAACTGCTGTAAATCAAGAGTATTAAACACAAAAGATATTTACAAGTGATCGACATGACTATAATTAAACTGGATCATTTAGAACTCATAAAAGTGGAATCACTGAATCAATCATAAGATTCAGACATGCTTCATAGATCACAGCAGTTCACACCACCTATGAAGGTGGTCCAAACCAAGAGTCAAAGACTCTATGGATGGGCGAGTGTTCTCGTCAGACCATTCCTAACTCTTTTTAACCTAATCCTGTATTAACTAATACAAGACGGCATAACACATGGCCCAACCATCTTAATCAATGCAATCTCGAAATCTCATTGATTAACTTCCCCTCTTCACCTAACACAATACGCTTAACCTTATTATCATGAAGTATATTACACCATGAAAGATTGAACGAAGGTACCTACGGTCAAATACAACGCTAGTTTTGCTCATATTTTTCAGGTTTAGTAGTTATGTCTGAATCGTGGAGGAGGACAACGCGAACTGCCACATAGTGCACAAGTCCCTTGATGGTCAGTTGGATATCACGCTTACGGGCCCAGATACTCGACTTTCAACTAGTAAGTCAGAAGTTTAAAGGCGGTTTCAATTAATTCGCAATGTGATTGTTTATTCCTCCTCAATGAAGAGACAGACATATTTGTTTACTAAATGCAAAAAATACGCATATAGTTGATGAATTGTAAAAGTGTTCGTAAATGTATTACATTTTCATTATTCCCTTGGATTCCGAGTGGAACATAAGGCTCCACCAGTACATGCCCATTTTACCCTGTTATCTGCTGTTTTTTTCCAGTTGGCTCCACGATTGCCTATACACATCCATCTCCTCCACATCACCCTCGGACGTCCAACTCGTCATTCCCTACTTAGGTTCCACTAGACAGTCTGATGCGTGGTGTCACACAGTGGTCTTCTCACCCTGTGCCTACTCCACTTTGTTCGGAATAGCTGTTGGGCAATAGCTTCTTGGTTGGTCTGGTGCTGAGGGAGCTCCTTGTTCCTCAGCCTTTTTAACCGGCTTTCTGATCTTCAGTATGGAGAGAAAGGAGCAGGTGTTGATTAAAGTCAGTAGTAGTAGTAGTTTGTTGGAAATGCTTTTGGTGGCACGCAAACCAAGTGTCTGAACCATGCAAAAGCACTGACTTGACATTGAAAAGCATTGAAAATCCTAATTTCGTTCCTCCCCTTATGCTGAATGCAGTAGATTTCTACACTGATTCCAGATTAATGAAGGTTTGTCTTGCTTTTACGATCCTGACTAGCTTTGACATCACATTTTTATTCCTTCACGTTCCATGAACATAGGGCTTCAAGCTAGAGGCTTGAAGTTTCCGTAGCAGTGTTATTTTACAGGATGGGGTTGCTAGCTATGATTCACCAGCTTTTATTTCTGGCTTAGCGAGGTAAAGGAGTGCGCCGGCCGGGGATCGAACCCCGGACCATGTGCATGGTCGGCGAGCGTCCTAACCGCTATGCCACCGACACCTCCGTACTAATTAATTACCTGTAGTTAAAACAATAACTGTTTAGATAAATGTAAAAGGTGAATTCCTTTAGATACATACACACACAGTAAGGCATTTAATTTTATGACGGTGTTAACTGGGAGATACCAAACACCTGTACACACTCTTAAAAGCACATAAAACTCGTCTACTCGTGATGCTTCTCAGTCCTTTGTTTTTAATATGTGTTCTCATAAGAAATATATATTGGGAAAGGGTACAGAAAACTAACGGTCATAGAATGAATTTAAATTGAAGTTAGTGTGAAAATACTTACACAAATTTTCCTCAAAAGGCTGTGATGAAGGACCAACATTTGAAGTTTCCCCAGGCGGTAATGGATTTAACTGAAAATTTCGAGGAGGAAAGGCATATACATATAGAACAACAATGCGATATTTAAAAGCTATTTTCTGAGGTGACTTACACCGAAACCAGATAGTGAAATCACAAAACTAGTGAAAATGGCGGTGGGGCACGAGAGGTTATCAGTGAGATTTAAGGGCTCTTTTGATGCGTAGAAAACTGCTTTCAAAGCAGAATGAAATTGTGACACTTATAAAAAAGAGCTGTAATAACTTTAGTTTAATGGTTGCACATCATTATTATTATTCCCTTAGGCGGAGCATAGCGATTCAACAGCACATCTCCACTACATTCTCTGAAGTCCTTTTTAGCTGGCTGAACGATTACCCACGAGCTCTCATCTCTTCCTCACACGACCTTCTCCATGTCACCCTCGGACACATAGCCAACTCGTTATTCAGCATTCCACTCGAGGGTTTGTCTGGTGCTCGATGTCACTCGACGGTCTTATCAACGCTACCACTGGGATGATGATACAAATGTGTGGAAGTTTGTTTCATTCTACTTTAAAAATATGAAAATAATATTTTCGAAATTGATTACAGGGTGAGGAAACATTGATGAATGTATAATGCAGCTACTGTGCCAGATATTCTGAAGACAAATGAACACTTTCAGACAATAAACGTGAATTTGCACTGCCACCACATGGTAGGCATTTCATGTTACTTCCGACCAAGAGTATAAGAGGGAAAACACTTAAATCGGAGATAGGTGACATCTCAAATTTGACAAAAAAAAGGGTAATTGAAAGTTGACCTACTACCTACTCCTATCCGAACTATACGAAATCAACTCTATGCTGCTGCTTTCTAGTGCTTTTGTCATGCTTCAACTACCATCATCAATTTTATTTAAGAGATTCAGTGATAAACTGACCTGTTGATCATTGGTGTATCTATCTTCATTTGTATTATTACCATGTGTCCCAAGACATTGTATTTCTTCTATTGGATTATTTGTCAAAGCATGGGGTGAATTTTCCATTACAGGAATATTGTTGAATTCCCGATGACGAAAATCTCTTCGTGTCACGTGTGCACGTCTTGTTAATCCCCTACCAAAATTTAAATAAGATGCATTATATAAAATAAACAAATATCTTATTTTGATGTTGGTTTCCAAGGATTTTAAGAGTGATCATGGGCTGATTTCATTTAGAGAACCGTTGAAAACTAGAAGGGAGTACTGGGAAGCTGTTTCGTCGTTGTTTAGGACCCCTCAGTAAACAGTGCGCACCCATTACGCAATCAGCGGGGATCGCCATATACATTTCGAGAAGTTAGAATTCATGGGCCAATGAATTCCACCCCAGCGATTGAATGGTCTACAACCTCGCCTTTTAGCCTGATGGTCTTGGGTCCGATCCTGGGTGGGTCATAGGTGCGTACGGCTGAAGAGTCCTGATTAAGGGGGAAACAGCTGTCCAGTACTCACTGTTTTCCAACATTTCTCCAACTGGTGCATTAGTTCGTTAATTTTTTAATTCCACTACCTTACCACTGGAACATGGGGCGTCAAGCCAGTGGCTTGTAGTGATGTTCATGCCCAACCTTCACTCTCTACCAGTCTTATCACTGGCTTAGAGAGGTAAAAAGTGAGTCGGTCGGGGACTGAACCCGGAAACACATCCGTGGTCGGCGAGAACTCTACACCTGTGCCACTGACGCATCGCATTAGTTCGTGATCGAGTTTAGTATCTTATTTAGAATAAAATCTTGACCTAACGATAACCCAAAAATGAAGTGTGGAGCAAGAAGATGAAGCAAATAATATTCGTTAGACTTGTAAAAAAGTCGCAATGCAACACACACACATCCTCAGAGTTATGGTAAAAAGTTACACAACAAACATATGTGTCTTAAAGCACCGAAAGGACTCCGTTAAATCGATACTTCAACAAACAATAACACAGGAACTAGAATTATTAACTTATTGACGTACTGCTTACTGAACAGCCCAAAACAAGGATAAAGTAGTCGCCCAGTAGTCCTCGTTAATTTTCGAAGGTTCCTCTCAATAAAGTCGATTCGTGATCAAAATTGAAATCAATCAAATCCCTGCAAACCAACACTTCAAAATAAAATTACTCGAGCTCTACCACAACTGACTCGAAACTTCTGTCGTCAAACAGTAGCGTGAATCCATACAGAATATAAATAGAAAGGCCACACATTCTAAACCACTACAATGAAAAATCAGCTACCTTTACTTTACCACAGGCTACTAAATCAATTTTCTAGCCTAGTGTAGGGATATGTTGCAGACCACTGGTTTTCAGCTACCCGTATTGCAGACTAGAAATCCAATTAGGGTAAGAGCGGATTCACAAATATCTCTTAAGTAGGTTTCGAAGGTGAACCACATGGAGATGTACATATATGATTACTGAAATACTTCTCTTCAAATTTATTCAAACATCCAAACTTAGTTGTGCCCAAGTTGGAGATTTAGTTCGCAAACATTTTAACGTCATCCACTACTGCATTGATGTCAATGGACAGTCACGTTACTTAGTCTGCGAAGCTGTATAGGACAGTGTTTTGAGCCTGATGTTAAAGTCAGCAATATCCTTCGTTTTCGACATAGAACTTGCAATATGTGCGGCAGTTCAAGTCGCCACAATCTATGTAGCACGCAGAGCAAGAGAAGGAAGTAGAAGAAATGCATAATATAGACAGTAAACAGAGGTGTGAGACAAAGGAATAGTAATAACGGAGAACAAAAGTTTAATTGGAAATCATAAGTCACAAGGAGTGGATGCATCTGCGCCACTGAGAACGATTTTGAGCCATGTCACCAATTGTTTCCAACCATTTCAGCAATATCCTGCTTAAATAATATTCCTTACTGCATTAAACTATAATTCCACTCCTAAAAACGGAAAACATTCTACGGAAATGAAGTGGAAATATTCAACACCAACAAATAAGCAAACTGAATACCACGAATCTAAATTTATTTCCCTTAACGTAAAATGCTAACACTTACCGACAAATAGACAGAGTTGCATCAAAATCAACCGTCGTGTCACCCAGTATACTTGGACACTTTGTTACTTGATTAGACGATTCATTTGAATCCAACAAACACATGGTCTCTTTTACAAGGCTAATCACAGAAATCCCCATTTCCATTTGAGAACATAAGGATTCATGTATGCTTAAAAAAGCATTCTACAATAACATGATCAATAAAATGTTATTAATAATACCTTAATCCTTTCTCTAGCCTCTTTATATGAATGGAGACGCATTAACTCAACACGGCACTTCACCAGGTCAATATTGGCCTGCTGTGCAGCCATTTTCTGAGTATTGAGCTCGATCTGCAATTCGGATACTTTCTTTGCAAGTGAAACATTGTTGTTACGTAGAGATGCTCCTGAATTGATCGACTGATTCACTAAAATGAAACAATACATCGGTGTACGATAGATAATGACAATACTTATTCTTATAAAAGACGGGTATAAGAAACATACGCTTTTGTTAATTCGTGAATTGGGACAGGATGGAAAACCTAATATACTGATGTCGTCAGAAAGGAATTCCCTCCCATGAAGGTTGAAATTAATGGAGGTATATCCAAGTATTAATTTGCAGTCAAGAAGGAAATGAGATGTAAGTGTATCTGGAATCTTAACATGAATTGAGTGTCGCACCAGTCGGATCGTTTATCAGATTGCAACATCTGAGCCCGAGAGATTTTCGCGAAGAGTGAAGTGAGTAGTATTCCTTTCAAAAATTCGGTGAATAGTTCGTTAAGAACACGGGAAAAAATAAATACGTGGGAGACTATGTAGTTTATGCTACATTCTACCTACCTTCTGATTATCTCATCCAACCTGATTTGTCCACTTTCCCTCCGACCAGGGAGGGTGTTTAGGGTTAGTGACCACATCAACTAAACTACTAACACAATCGAATACTCATCACTCCTTTATCTCAAAAGAAATACGACCTAAATTTGTCCTCAATTTTGAGGCAGCTTTATGAAGACACTTTTAGGGAATATCTTAAGATATACAGATCACCCACAAATCCCAAAATTACTCTTAGATTCCCTCATGGGAGAGGTCTCCAGACCTCTCGAATTTCTCCAATGACCGGAAAAATGTTAAATGACGAAAAGGCGGCAAGAGTAAACAATAGACACCAAAGTCAAATCACCTTGATTTTTCCAATCAGATAGCTCAGCATTACAAATGGTTGCTAGTCATAAACCTTGTTGAAAATGTCTCCTAGATTTGGATTTTGACTTCTCTGTGGGAAATGTGTTGATAGGAAGGAATGAAACATGCATATGTTGAGCGTTAATGACTCTGCAAAAGTATTGTCGGGCTATTGGTGGTTATACATTCAGATGCAACCACTTCACATAAGGTAGTCTGTAAAGGTTAGTAAGTCGTACATAATTGGTGATTTTCTAGACACTTCTAGAAACCTAAAGCTCTCCTTTAGTAATATTCTGCGTATATGCAACCAGTATCTGCTACAGATGGAGAAACAGGGAATACATTGGTTTGATATGTCTATAACCACTTCTAATGAGAATCTGGGACCAGTTTTTGCAGCATATTAGAGATATATACCCTATATGAGTCCTTTTAATTACAACTATATCCTAGGTACACTTCTTTATAAATTAAGTACCACTTTTCACCTAGAAGAATCTGATTGCTTAAATCAAGGTCATCCGACTTTGGTATCTATTGTTCACTCTTGACCTATATAATCCTGCATAAAATTTCTTATGCTACAATATGAGTTCAACTTAACCCAGCTAGCATTTTCTTCGGGCGCACTGCAGACTTTACGGGGCAAAACACTTCGGGCGCATTGCAGATTTTGAGTATTTGAACAGAAGTCTGCCCCAAAAAGTCTGCAATGCGCCCGAAATCATTGCTGGCTGGGAAGTTGAAAGTGACATACCTGACTTTTGAACAAGTCTTCTTGACGTATTCAGTAGTCCTCTACGGTGCATTAGCCGTATGCTACTATTCAGTTTTGGCTGTCTTGACTTCGGATATTTGATACTAACGTGCGACTCCGTCTCACTCATTTTAACTACACACACAATTTCAATTTGAAAGTTCGTCAAGGTCGTTGGTATCTAACGAAATCCAACGTAGTCGTAACATCATCGTATAAATTCTATGCTTTCTTGCTTCGCATTTCTTAAAGTTTCAGATTGTTTATAAGGCCTTGGAAGATCCCTTTGAATAAAATCTCTCCATCGACTGCCGAAGCTCTAGTGAAGGCAAAAAGAATCAGGATGCTATTTTATTTTGTATGGAACGTATGATGTGCAACAAGGCACGACAATACTGGAAACTGCGAATTTCATCCCACCATGCAGTGCTTCAGTTGAGCTGCTTAACATTTGAGGATAAAGAATGTTAGAAAGGGAGCTGGACAAGTTTTCGAGGAAACAACACGAAAAAGCTTAGTATATTAAGAAGGTTGGAACAAACCAGTGGGGCAGATGCATGAGACAGGCTGGATATTTGTGGTATTAGGACATTCCCCCCTAATGTCAAGACAGATGATACTCACTGTTATGATTGTGACATGCTCATTCATCACTCTCCCAGTTGGAATTTACTTAACTAAAACTACCAGTTGACGCAACAAGTGTCACCCACTCAAACATCCCTATATCACTCTGTCTGGGCATCATTACGGTGGGCCAACTCCTCTCAAGAGACTGCTCTAGTTTCCGAGACTGCACACGCGTTGTAAATTTCCCCGGACCAACAATTAAATAGAACTTGTGGGTCAGTGGCTGAAATTTTCTAAAGATACATAACTGGAAAAACAAATTCAGGGGCAGAAAACTTTTACTCTATGGTTAAGCCGCTCCCCGACTAGGCACGTTTCGCCTTCATACTTCAGCTATTTTATTCAGCAAATTAGTAGTGAAAACAAGTCCCACATAACACTCAAATATAAACTTTCTTTACCACCTTGTGCCATACCGATCAGAACAGCTCAGCAGCGAATTAAGAAGGCTACTCTTGGAACCAGACTATTATCCGCGCTAACAAAAATAGCACTATGTAAATCACCGGCGGAAAAGGATGCTGCATCCTGCTGATATTTCTTATCGCCTCCTGAAGATTAATAGGGAGAAAACAGCCATACTATATTCTACCGAAGTAACAACACTTTGCCCAGAACTTGAGGGCAAGTTAGCTGGTGCACTATGCTCACAGAAAATAGTACAAGTGAAATATGACCAGATGACAAGTTGCGTCCATTTCTAATTGAAAGGTAACAGCCTTTTTATCCCATGAAAACAGTGAGTTCATCCCTTCTTCGAAAAATTCTTCCGTTTATCTTATCCGTAAATTTTCTGAAAATACAGTTATTACGCGGGGAGCTATAAATACACACGTGCCCACTCATACATTGCGTTCTTTTTCCCATTACTGCCCTGTTGCCGTTATTATGATCGGTCACACTTTTCGGAAACATGCGAGAAATTCATATCCTCGTTATAATGCAGAATCCACGACAGTGGAGCAGAATCATAGAAACACGTGAACATTTACGTTATATTGCGGTGAGAGCTGTCTACTAGCCGAATTGGTAGACGGTAATTGACGTCAATGTTTACGTTCTCAAGATTGGTCGTGAGAAAATATGAACAAGACTGATTCAAAAACCGACCACAGCAGACTTTGCGTAGGCGGATACAGTTAACATATAGATGATCTGACATTCAAGAAACAGTCACAAAGAGATGAAAGATTAGCTTTGAGTGAGAAACAACCGATCAGAAGACTATGTTTGTTTGCTTAACTAATCTATAATAATGTACATGAAAATATATAAATATGCTTTGATTTCCTTAATAAACGATCTGTTGCCTGGCCCTTGTCTTCTGTTGTTACAATATTACTAAATTTGTGCAGATGGAAAAAACTCTACCCTCAAGTGACTGTGAATTCCCACCTCCTTTTATCACAAATAATTGCCATATAACAATTAAACGGTTGATATTACTTCGCTTTAGTTCACTGTTAGGTAACTCTATCAATTAGTAACACTTGTGCAAAGTTTGAACATGACTTCCACAAGACGTGTGAGCTCTGCAGCTGTGGCATAACTGTCCGACCAAGTTGTTGTGGTTTTTCGCTGAAAAGCGCTCATCATCCAGTTGTGTGTGTGCCAAGATCCTGAAAAATCCCCTCTCTACCAGGTGGAAACCAAATCCTGCAGCAGACTGCCAGGATAAAAATCGGGGTGCCAACCAGAATTCACAGCGGAAATCGATATTTTAGATGTTAACTAAATACTACCACATCGCTCATAATCAACTCGAAACACCCAACAGAGGTTCCACACAATATACTGATATTCAGCACTGGCAGTCTTCAACTCATAACGGAAACAGGACGGACTGCAGACGACATCCTTTCCTAATGTTCAGCATGCGTGTTTACAGTGACTGTCCACCCGCTAATGAAAACCTTTTCGACGAACGGCGGCGATTTGCAGGGAGAGAGAGCTCCCTAAACACCAATCAACAAACAGCAGTTAGACTTTAAGCACCACTGACTCTCAGTCAGCGAATGATCTTGAACTCGTTAATCACATAAAGGAGGCATTTTTGGTTGGGGAAAACAAATGTTTATTGAAAAACTGCCTAAAAACGTTTCCCTGACATGTGGCAAACGCCTCCTAGTTGAGCATGGGAGTATCAGCTGGAAAGTCACATCGCATTCTATACATATATTTATCTAAATGACTATAAGTAGCATCCTTTTGAAATTCACTAAGGGCCCGGATCTTGTTTTTAATCTTCCCCAGAGGCCTTCCATAGAACTGATTTGTATCCAAGTAATGAGATCCACAAAATCACTAGAATGGTTGACTCTGTGGTGAACATATCCAAGGGATGACGGGTAGTTATAACTTTCCCACTCATCCACGTGTGGAATCACACCTTCTCCTCCTAATAACGAAGTTTTCCCTTCATTTTTCATGACGCGATATCTCTGCAGTGCTGGTACTCTTGAACTGTTGATAAGAGTTTGTTTTCTACGTTTCAGCAGCTACACCTGTTACAGGCTTCTTCAAAATCCAGTAACTACAAATTTACAAAATCTGAGTTAAGGATAGGTGAGACCTGGCAAAATGTTCCCACGAAATATAAGAATCATCAGCTTAACTTCCCTGACACTTGACTCCAATCAAGAGGAATCGAACCTTCAACTCACGTGGATGAAACTGTTTAGGCCATTCCTTGATTAGTAGTTAGAGATGCTTTAAGTTTAACTTGACCAGAAAAACTTTGGGTCACCATAAGACTCAACTAGGGGGTGGAACAAGTCCTAATGCTATCACAAATGTCGAGATTAACCGTCGTCCAGCATAAGGGTCGAACTGGGAGGAAATCCAGATATAAAAGAGACATCTTGCAGAGCAAATGATGAGGTCAAAATGACAACTATTTTCATACACCACATTCTTTGGTTGAAAGGTAGCAACTCGTACAATAAGGAAGGCTGCTGGTGGCTGCTGATGAAGATTAAGCGGAGGTAGGTGGTGGCACTTGAAGACTACAGGCTACCCTATTCTGCACACGGTGAGTCTAAGCAGCAGATGTTGGCTGCCTAGACACATTCCGTGAAGTCGTTTAAGCCAGGTAAGTGGTCATTACAATGTATGTAGCAACATTCGATATGGCAATAGTAATCTTTATGCTACAAGCATACAGCAGAGAAATGTAGCGCCACAAATACAAACTCACGTTTTCATACACAAACGAGACAATACCCCGAAATGCGGAGCAGTGTATATGAGAAAGAATCTATAGTAAGGTTTATCTGACAAGTCAACATACGAGGAGCTCCGGGAGCCAGCCAAGTGGTGCTTGACTGTGAAAGACTTCAGGTTTCTGACTGGAAGAGTCTGTCGATCCATAAAGCGCTACTGGAGGCACAAGCTACGAGTGATCAGAGCAATGTATATGGTCACGATGACAGGGTTTGACAATTCATTGCTTTCTCATGAGGGCACACCTGCTCACGGTGATGTAAGCCAGGACCTCATCAACACAGAATACGACAGTGAAACAGAGTCAGTTACCGGTCACAGTATTCAGGAGGACAACGCCAGTAGGCAATGAAGTACTATATCTTCTGTACACTTCGTAAGTTCCTTCTTATCAAATGAATGATTTGTTTGGCTACGTTTCTCCACATAGCTCGCTCACCAATGCTCTTTTGAGGGATACTATGGGAGACACATCTACACCACAGTTCCTACGCCACATGCAATAGCTTGTAGAATATGACACGGAAGGAGAGGCTGTACCGAAGCAATGCTGAATGCATGCCACTGCAGTTTCTGAAACATTCACTGGGCGCCCGAGCTCCGGGCGTTGATATGCCATCTCCCCTGTTTGAAGTGGCGCCTCCAGCTTTACCTTGAGGACATTTGCGCGGTCTAGTTGATTTCAGTTTGGCTGATTTGTTTCGTTTGATCTAGGTAGCTGCATTTGACGTGATTCTGGTTTTTATTTGGCTTGAACTGTGTTGATTTTGTTAAGAATAGTCGTCAAAAGCTGTCCCTAAACTTGAAGGCAGTTATCGTGCAGGAGGATGCTTGAGAATGTGTTTCATGTAAAAATTATAGGGTGCACCTAAAATCCTTGGTGTTAACTCCTGTTTGTGGCGTCTCAATGATTTCTGCAGAGCTTCGTTTTATCACTTGTGTCCATATTTGTCGTTCACGAGTGTTTCAGTAAATGTTTGTGGCTATAATCAGGAACTTCCCAAAACGGTAGTTGTGGTAAGGAATTTATATATTTTTTTCCGCTACAGTTTCCAAGTCAATGTTAATTTCAAGTTGCTTATTGTGCTTTGCTGGCTATTCGTGAATATTTAATTCAAAAGCTTCTGTTTTCATTTACAGTGGTACCGAATGAACGTATTGGCACCTGGAGACAATGGCAACCAACATGCCCTTCCTATATCAGTGGATGTCAAAAAATCTTTTCACGGAATTATGTTTAGTCACCGGTATACCAGTCGGGTTCAAGTAGAAGATGCTCTGAGTCAGCTAGAATCAGTACGATATATATATATGTATGATAGAGT